GGCCACGCTGCCCTTGGACGGGTCGCGGCTGAGCGTGTACATGGAGATGTCCGTGGAGGCGAAGCCCGGGCCCCCGGCGCCGCCGGGAGACGCGTCCCGCGACGGCGACGGCTCGCTGGAGCGGGAGCTAGAGCGGGAGCGGCGGCGGTAGCGGAAGCGGTAACTGGGCAGACGGAGGATGGCCGAGGGGCCGCTCCCGCCACTGCCGCCCGCGCCCCCGCCGGCCTTGAGCAGGTCCGAGCGAGACTGGCAGTGCGCCTCGCGGCTGCGCTCGATGTAGATGTTGACGGCCAGCACGCCGATCACCTCGGCCAGGATGAACGACAGCCCGCCGAAGTAGAAGGACCAGCCATACGAGTAGTGGTTCTTCTTCTCCTCGTCCCGCTTCGGGCCCGGCTCGCCCGCGTTGGCCGAGATGTACACGATCACGCCGATGATGTTGCTCAGGCCTGGGCGGGGGACGGTCAGACGGGAGCCTGGAGGCCACCGCCGGCCCCGCCCCGCCCCGCCCCGCCCCGCGGTCCCGCCCGGACAGTCAGAGCCCAGTCCCAGATGCTCCAGCTCCTCTGGAGCGGGCCCAGGCCCCGCCCCGCGCTGGTCTAAGCTCCACCCCCGGATGGTCTAGGCCCCGCCCCAAACGAGCTCTGTCCCGTCCCAGGTGCTTTAAGCTCCTCCCGAGCTGGCCTAGGCCCCGCCCCACACTGGTCTAACCTCCACCCCCGGGTGGTCTAGGCCCCGCCCCAAAGCTCTAAACTCCCCCCGAGCTGGCCCAGGCCCCGCCCCGCGCTGGCCTAATCTCCACTCCTGAGTGGCATAAGCCCCGCCCCAAATGACCCCGTCCCGTCAAGTGCTCTAAACTCCTCCCAAGCTGGCCCAGGCCCCGCCCCGCCCTGGTCTAAGCTCCACCCCCGGGTGTCTAGGCCCCGCCCCAAAGATCCTGTCCGGTTCCAGGTGGTCTAAACTCCCGAGCTGGCCCAGGCCCCGCCCCACGCTGGTCTAATCTCCACTCCTAAGTGGCATAAGCCCCGCCCCAAATGATCCCTGTCCCGTCTCAGGTGCTCTAAACTCCTCCCCAGCTGACCCAGGCCCCGCCCCGCCATAGTCTAAGTTCCACCCCTGGGTGGTCCAGGCCCTGCCCCAAATGCTCCATGTCCCGCCCTGGATGGTCCCTGTTCCACCTCCAGCGGTCTAAACTCCTCCCGAGCTGGCCCAGGCCCCACCCCTTGCTGGTCTAAGCTCTACCCACGGGTGATCTAGGCCCCGCCCCCAAATGCTCCGCGTCCCGCCCCGGGTGGTCCTTGTCCTGTCCCAGGTGCTCTAAACTCCTCCCTGGCTAACTGGGGCCCTGCCCCAAGAAAGCCTAGTCTGGATCACGCCCCAATGGTCCAGGCCCTGGCTGGCCCAGACCTAGTCACGGACGGTCTAAACTCCTTCCCAGTTGATCTAGGCCCCACCCCTAGAGGGTCGAAGCCCCACTCCCAGCTAGCCCGGCCCCACCTCCACTAGTCTGGTCTAAACCTGGCCTCAGCTGGTCCAGGCCCTGTTTGGTCTGGTCTAAACCCTGCCCGTGATGACGTAATCCCGGCCTGGGTTTCCAGGCCCTACCCTGAGTACTCTAACTCAATCCTTAACGTTATAAACCTGGGTTTTCTCCTGAGTCCTACACTCGTTTAAACTGGTCATATGGTAATTCCGCTCTGATTCTCTAGGCTCGGTGCCTTGCAGATCTAAACTCTTCCTTTCGTGATATCAATCCAGACTGGTTATCTAGTCTAGGCCGTCCCCCCCGGTGGTCTAAAATTAGCTCCTACTGGATCAAGTCCCCCTTCTACCCCAAGCCCCGCCTCCAACCCATCAAACCCCGCCCCCTGCGGGTCCAGACACGGCTTCTCCGCCTGTCACCCCCCTTTCAGTCCTCTGGCTCAAAAGCAGATCTTGACCCATCCCCAAAGCACCCCCTGCTCTTTATGCTAAGTCCTCCCCCTTCCCTGGATTCTGCCCCCTGGAATTTCCCAGCACTATTCATTTCACGTAGAAAAGCAGGGAAGCACCTGCGGGGGTAGGGGAGAGTGGGGAAACCTCACTCGAAGTTGGTCTAGATGGTTTCCCAGGACCAGCCTCTTCCTGGATCTACCGGGGTTCACGAGGCCCCGCCCCCTAAAACAGGTTCCTCCCCTCCATCTGCCGCTCAGTCACCGGGATGCCAGCCCCGCCCCTCTATCTCCAAGACCCCGATTGTCTCAAGGCCCCACCCCTCCCCCAAGCCCCACCCCTTCCGTCTGCAGAACCGCGGGCTTTGGAACGTAAGCTCCCGGCATCCCTGATTACGCGCTAGACACCTGTCAGTGCTGGGCTTGTTCCCCCCAAAGACGGCGCGAAGGCGACACCTACCTTGCCCAGCGGGTGGCGATGGAGCTTAGGAAGAGCCTAGGAAGGCTCCAGGCCCCAGCAGGCGCCTGGGGCAGGGTGGCTTTGCAAACGCACAGGCACACACACACACACACACACACACACTCACGTACACACATAACACACACAAGCGCCCGCGCAGGTGGCCGCCCCAGCCGGCCGCCCCCTCCCTCTGCCTCTCACCTGCTGCCACGAACAGGATCCCTGCGCCCAGAATGATGTTCCTCTTGGACTTATAGACCCGGGAGGCCGCCACGCACACGCCCCCGAGCAGCAGTAGGATGGCGCTGAGGATGGGGAAGATGCTGGAGGCCCGGACGACTCCTGCGAGGGAGAAGAGAGGAGGGGAGAAGGCGTGGGAGCCAGGGCGTCAGGTGCGGCCCTTTGCGGCCCTTTGCGCCCCTCGCGCGCTGCGCTTCCTGCCCGCTTTCGTCTCCGCTCCTCTCGCTAGAAACCTCCAAGTCTCCCTCTCTGCCTGTGTTCTGGTCATTTCATTTTTTCTTTCATTCTCTCTCCTCTTTAAAATTTCTCTATTTTTCGGTCTGATCTCCTCTCCCGCCTTTTTTCTTCCTCCTTTTCTTTCTCCCTCGGCCTATTTTTCTCTCTCCTGGCACATTTTTTTTTCCTTTTTACTTCTCAAAATCACTCTCCCTCTCTGTTTTTCTCTGAACTTCTCTGTGGACCCTCCCTCTTTTTCCTTCTCCTTTGCATATTTCTTCCCTTTCTCTAGATCTGTCAAATCTCTTAATATCTTACCCACCCCCTTTCTGCCCGGCTTCATCTATCTCTCCGGATTCCCCGCCCTTCCTCCCTCTGTGCCCCACCCCCTATCCTTCTGCCTGGCTCCATCTACTGCTCTGGGCTTCGCGCGCGCGCGCGTGTGTGTGTGTCTGTCTGTCTGTCCTTCTCTAGCTGCAGTCCTTTCCACCCACCCTCCAGACCCCAGCAAACGGATTTTGCGATTTCTCAGCCCCGCTGAGGCCGCAGCCAATCACAATTCAGGATTTGCCGCGTTCTCGGGGTAGCTACCAATCGCAGCACCGGCTTCCTCAGCCAGCTCGCGAGAGTGGCCCGTGCGCGCCGCAGGTCGCCTCAGTGGCCAATCCAGCCCAGAAACCGACAACGAGTCACGGAGCAGTGTCGCCGCGAGCCCGGGGCAGCAAGGCGGCCAATCACCGCCCGGGATCGCCCCCCACCGCCCCTCAGCCCGCCCCAAGGTGAGAGGAGGGGGCGGGAGAGGGATCACTAAACCAATTGGGATCCAAAGGATCTCAACATCTAGATTTGGATTGGCCGTCTAAGTGCCGCTCCCCAGCGCCCCCCTCCGCGCTCCGGCCCCCGGCCCAGGCCCGGCAGTCCCCCCCACTCTGACTCAGACCCCCACGTACGGAGCAGATACTCCGCGCTGTCATGATCGTAGTCCGTGTCCTCCGGGAAATGGTTGATCTTCACGCAGACGCCTCTTTTCAACCCTGGAGGGGGATGGGGGGTGATGGTGGGGGGGCGGGGCTTTAAGAGTTGAGAGAACCCCCGGTGAGAGAAGACTCCCCCTCCTTCCCCAAACCCCTCCTCTCTCTGGGCAAATTGGGAGACAGGAAATCCTGGCTCCTGAGCCTATCAGCATCTGGGACAAACTCTAAACTTCTCTGGCCTCGGTTTTCCCAGCAGTTAAACAAAGAAAGAAAAAAGGAAAAGGGGGGGCGGGGAACACCCATGCAACACTCACTAAAAGGCCACAAAGACCTTTGCCCTGTAACCCGGGCTAGGACACTCAACCGCTCCGGCTTTCCGTTTTCCCCCCGCTATGAGAAAGAAGGCACTGGCTTCGGCAGTGTCAAGGCGCTCGGCAACTCTGCACTTGTCGCCGGGTCTGAAAATGCGTGGGAAAACGAAGGCGCGCACAGAAGGCGAGGACTACATTTCCCATGAGGCCCTATGAAGTCTTGAGTCCAACGGTGAGAGCGCAGCCCCACTGGACCATGGGAGTTGTAGTCTCTTCAGTTCTGCCTATAGGGCGAGGGCTTCCCAGTCTCTTACCTGGAATCCTCTGGAAGGAGATGGAGTGGCTGGAGCAAGTAGAGGCATGTGAGGAGGTATGCCTCTAGGCGTCATGCAGTCTCACCCCCTTCTTCCATCCCAGAATCCTCATTCTCACACCCTTTGGGGACCCATCTTCTCAACTTTGGGGCAGTTCCTATTCTACTACCTCTATCACCTAACTGGAGATTGATATGTAAATAAATATAAATATAGATACATTTAGTTTCCTCGATTCTCCAGGCTCCTTCCAACCTGCAGGCCTTTGCCCATGCTGTGGATTCCGTTCACAGTCTTCACTGATGAAAAACTTAGCCTGCAAGGGGGCAGCTCACAGGGTACCTGCTTGAGGAAGCTTGCCCTGTGTACACGCACGCGCGGGCACGCACACGCACACGCCTCCCACCAAAGTTGGGTCAGTGTCCCCCTCTAGGGTGGAACAGCTCCCTGCGGTACACACACACACACACACACACACACACACACCTTTTTTTTTTTTTTTGGCATGCATAGGGTTGCTTTATGAGCTTCTTCTTCCTCAGTAGGCTGGGAGTTCCCTGCAGGGAGAAGACAGGGAGTCTGATTCCTCTGTGTGTCCCTAGCATCGCCTGGCACAAAGGAGGCCTCAAGACATGGGTGTTGAATGAATGAATGAAATTATGAATGAATATAGGCATAGCAGAAGGGGAGATTGGAGGCAGAAGATGACAGGGAAAATAATGGGGATAAAGGAAAGGATTGGGAAGAAGGAATATAAGGCAGTGAGTAATTCCACTAACAGCTAATATTTGCTAAGTGCTTCCTAGGTGGATTAACTCATCCGGAGCTCCCAAGAGTCCCATGAAATAGATAATGTTATTGGTGTTGTGCAGGGGCCAAACGTTGGGAATTGGACTCACACTGCTCGATAATGAAACCCAACTCCATCATGTCCTGATTCTGTGACCTTGTTGGTGTTACTTAGGCCAATTTGCTTCAGTCCTTTCACCTATAAAAGGGGATAACAGGACCTACGTCATGGGATTGTTGTGAGGATTGAATCCAGGTAAAGAGATTTAGCACTTTGCCTAGAACATAATTAAGTGCTCAGTTGATATCAATCTACCCATTGTCCAGATGAGGAAGCAGAGCCACAGAAAGGATTAATCAATTCACAGCTGATAGGTGGTGGAAGCAGAATTAAAACACAGCAGTTTGCCCTACGGTATATAAGGTTACGGGCTGTTCAGTTCACCACTAATCTTCCAAGCATCTAGAACAATGCCTAGCACTTACTGCTTAATAAATAATTTTATGAGAGTATGATTGAATGGGCCGAGGACATGAAAAGATGCTCGACATCACTAATCATTAGGGAAATGCAAATCAAAACCACAATGAGATACCACCTCATACCCACCAGGATGGCTACTATTAAAAAGCAAAACGGGGGCGCCTGAGTGGCTCAGTTGGTTAAGCATCTGCCTTTGGCTCAGGTCATGATCCCAGGGTCCTGGGATCGAGTCCCAAGTCTCAGCGGGGAGTCTGCTTCTCCCTCTCCCTCTCCCTCCCGCTCTGCCTACTTGTGCTCTCTCTCTCTGTCAGATAAATAAATAAAATCTTAAAAAAAAAAAAAAAAGCAAAACAGAAAATAACAAACATTGATGAGGATGTGGAGAAATTGGAACCTTTGTGCACTGTTGGTGGGGATGGAAAATGGTGTCAGCTGCTACCATTTTAAAAATTAATTTAAAAAATTTTAAATTAAAAACAGTGTTACTATATGACCCCGCAATTCCACTTCTGGGTATATACTCAAGAGAATTCAAAGCAGGGTCTCTAAGAAACATGTGTACACTCATTTTCATAGCAACATTATTCACAACATCCAAAAACAACCCAAGTGTCCACTGGTGAATGAACGGATAAGCAGAATGTGGTCTATACATACAATGGAGTATTATTCAGCCTTAAAAAGTGAGGGAATTCTGACTATGTGCTGCAACACAGATGAACTTTGAAGACATCATGCTTGAGTGAAGTAAGCCGTCACAAAAATACAAATATTGTATGATTCCACCTATATGGGGTGTCTGGAGGAGTCAGATTCATAGACAGAGGGTAGACTGGTGCATGCCAGGGGCTGGGGGAAGGACATGGGGAGTTTTCGTTTAATGGGGACAGTTTCATTTTGCAAGATGAGAAGAGTTCTGGAGAATGGGCGCACAGCAATGCGAGTGTACTTAACACTACCGTATTGTACCCTTAAAAATGGTTAAGATGATAAAGTTAATGTTATGTTTTGTTATATTTTACCACAATTTTAAAAAAATGAATGAATGATTGATTATACACCTCTCAAGTGCAAATTCTTATCCATCAGCACATCCATCATGGTGTGATCAGTAAGACTGTGGGTTCAAGTTCTCTCCTTTCTTGAATGGGATCACAGTATGTCTCTCAAAACAGTTATCATAATTAAATGAAGTTGAGCATGTAAAGCGCACAGCACACAGACCCTCTCAACAGATTAGCGATGACAGCAGTAATGATAACCAGTACGTACTGAGGGCTAACCGCACACCAAGCCCCTCTCCGAGCATTTGTCCGGTATTAATGCACTCGGTAATTATGACAAACCCTAGGGATACTGGACAATAATGACATCCCTGCTTTATAGATGAGAAAACTGAGCATAGAGTGAAAGAAGTTGCTCAGTCCCATGTAGATGTTAATTTGGGGTGGGGAGAGGAGATTAAGTGCAGCTGGGCTTCAGAGAATGAGTATATTTAAGACAGTGGAGCATGGTCCCTGGAATCACATTCTCTGGACTCAATGCCAGGACGGCCACTTCCCACCTGTGTGGCTTTTGGGACTTGAATGCTCTTGAGTCTCAGCTTCCTCATTTGGGAAATGAGGACAATGACATGACCTCATAGGGTTTGATAAGAGTTCAGTGAAACAGAGTCAAGGGCAGAATACAGGGGGCTATGCAACATGCTTCTGCATATGATCTGACTTGACTGGGCTGAGCCAGGAGCTTTTTATGTGCAGGGATGGCAGTAATGTGTCCCTGGGTCTCCCCCGAGCTTGCCCAGCACAGACCTGGGTAGGCAAGAGTGAGGGGGTGGGGGTGCTGCAGTGAGGGTGCATGGGGAAGTGGGTTCCAGCCCGCTCTGCCCCTCACATGTTGGGTGACCATGTGGCTGACTCACTTCCCTCGCTGGCCGTCAGCTTCCTCCTCATACCCCTCCCCCCCGACACAACTGGGAGGATTTGGTGAGATAATAAGACATGCAAAGTGCTGAGCACAGGGGCTTTAGAATACCAGCTTGAATAAATGGAGCTGTGGGTCCAGGGTCTTGATTCCTGAGGAGGGGGCTGCACCCACACGGATGCCACCAGCCCCAGGTGGCCCTTGGGCACTTGAAACGTGGCAATTGAGATGAGGTGTGAGCATAAAATACGCACCGAATTTCAGTCTTAGTATGAAAAAATGCATAATATTCCATCAATAATTTTTATATTACATATTAAAATGATAATATTTGGCTACGCTTGGTTAAATAAAAGATATTATTAGCCTTTATATTGATTTATTATAGTGTATAACTTCTATTTATTAAATGATATTCATTGAAACTTCTCCTTTTTCCTTATATGAATGTAGCTACTGGAAAAATTTAAATCCTATATGCGGCTTGTGTGATGTTTCTCTTGGGCAGTGCTGGGTAAGAGGCTGGGATTTCTGGGCTATCAAGGAAGATGAGGCTCAGGGCAGTCACCTGAATTCTGAATAATTAGAAGAACACCAACAACAAAATATAAACGACATAATCTAGCCCTTACTCTGCCTGCTAGCCTTTTAAATGCCTTACAATTGCAGCTCATTGAACCCCTCCACAATCCCTGTGGGTCAGAGGCTATTGCAATTCCCAGTCCTCGGAGGATGGAAATGAGGCACAGAGAGGTTCAATGTGTGGTCCGAGGTTACCCTGTTGTGCTCGGCAGACAGGAGGTAAACCCAATCCCAGTCTTGTCCCAAAGTCTGTGTCTCAGCCACTCCATCTACTGCATCTGTCGGGGAGACTCACAGGGACATGGGGACGGAACCCGAAAATCCACGGGGATCCAGTGCCTTCAGGAGGCAATGGTCCAGGGGGCTCAGTTTCTACATTCCTGGGCCCCACATGGGCTGGAAGCTGATGGATGCATTGCTTTGTTCTCCTAGGAAATAAAACAGACCTGGATTCAAATCCAGACTCGACTACCTATTAGTCGTGTGACCTTGGGAAAGTCGCTTCACTTTCTCTGAGCCTTTGCTTCCATTTCTAGAAGGTGGACATAACAGGGGTAGCTATCACACAGGGCTATTGTGAGCATTCTGTGGCACACACACACCTTCATTTACACTCTCCTTGCAACATTTCCTTTGGCTTCTGGGATACCCACTTACCTCATTTTCCCTAAGTCTCTGTGGCTCCTGCTTTCTGAGCTCCTTTTGCTGGCTTCTCTCATCTCTTTTTTCATAGTGGACTAGCTCAGGCTGCAGCCCTTCATCTAATTGTTTGGTATGTTTCTCTCTTCGCATTCTCTAGGTGACCTCATCCATCCATATGCAATGACCCCCCCAATTTATATCTCCAGCCCGGACTGTCCCCTGAACTCTGGCCTCATACATCATATCGCTCACAGCTTAGATCGGGGGGTCAGCAAACTACAACCCGTGGGCCAAACCCAGCCTGCCAAATCCAGCGAAGAATGGGTTTTACATTTCCTAAGTGATTGGAAAAAAAAAAAAAAAATCAAAGGAGAGTGTTTCGTGGCACGTGAGAAAGATATGAAATTCAGATGTCAGTGTCCACATACGAGTGTAACCGGAACACAGCCACGCTGATTCACTCACGTGTTGTCTTTGGTTGTTTTCAGGAGTGGCTGTGACAGGGACAGGTCCACAGAGCCTAAAATATTGACTGTATGGCACTTTGCTATGCCCACCCCTGTCCTAGGTGGTATCCCTAATAGGCATCCCAAATGTAACATGTCCAAAATGGAGCTCCTGATATCTCTGCTCACAATAAATTAGATCAGAGACAATAAAATAAATGAAATGAAACGCCCACTGTACCATCCTCTGGGGGCCCCCTGCCTGCACCCCCACCCCCACCCCCACCATGCTCAGGCGCTCAGGCCACAGCCCTGGGTGCAGTGACTCTCAACCGGGGGCGAATTTATTCCCAGACCAGAGACAGTTGACAGTTTTGGTTGTCACGACGTGGGGACTGCTCCTGGCACGGAGAAGAGAAGGTGGAGGCCAGGATGCTGTCGAGCCCCCCTGCAGTGCGCAGGATGGCCCCCACAGCTCGGAACCATCCACGCCAAAGTGTCAACAGCGCTGAGGTTGAGAGATGCTGTTTTAGAGACACCCCGACCTCTCTCTCTCTCTCTCTCTCTCTCTCTCTCTCACCTCCCACAGCCACCCGGCCGGCCGGCAATGCCACAACCCCCACCTCCACTCTAGCTTTGGGACACGCTCTGAATTCAGATCACGTCTCCGACTCCGCCCACCCCCAGCCCAGACAAGCCTCCGCCCGCCCCTTCAGTCTCTCCCCCCCGGGCCAGAGCGCTCCTGCCCTGGTCCGCAGTGTAAGCCAGCTCAGGAACTCTGGACGGGAAAGGCAAGTCACCTTCCAGCACCCAGAACGTGTGAAATCGGGGCCTGTTCTCTCTTGGATTGCATCTCCCACCACGTCCCCTCACTCACTCTGCCGGGGGCCAGACACACAGGCTCCCACCTCAGGGCCTTCGCTGTGGCTCTTTCCTCCAGAGAGCCGTGTGGCTCCATCTCTCACTTCCTTCAGACCTCCACCCCGAGGTCACCTGCTCAGCGAAGCCCATCCTCGTCTCCTCACCTGCAACTGCACACATGTGTGTCCTAACACATTCCATCCTCTCCCCCGTCCTCCTTAGCACCTAGTGCCAGCGAACACCGTAAAGGTTTTGTTTACTTAAATTTCTTATTATTTGTCTCTCCCTCTTGAATAGAACACATATAAAAACAGGGATCTTTTGTTTTTCGCTGCCATAGCGCTGCAATTAAGAACAGTGCCTGGCGCATAGTATAAACCCAATAAATATTGGTCGGGTGGATGGATGGATGGATGGATGGATGGATGGATGGATGGATGAATGGATGGCATTCTTATTATACGCTGTACTCTGTCCTAGGGGTTTCAGGATGCAAGCCCCCACACGCAGCCGGTACCCGGTGTTTGGTCAGGCCAGTGAATGGACATGGATTCGAATGTCCACAGGAGAAAGGAAGTACCATAATGAGAGAGTGGACGGGTGTGAGGCGATAGGGAGCAGAGGCGAATGTGGGGACCCACAGACCGCATGCCTGATCTGAAGGAGCAGCTGCTGCTTGGATGGGCCAATCGTGGCCACTGCAGAATGAGGCCCTGCGTTGTCAAATCTTCCACTAGTTCAAAAGAAGCCGGAAATCAGATTTTCAATGTGAAGTCTCCCTATTTTTAAATGTTGGCAACTGATTCGGATTTTGGTTTCAGTTTTAAACACTTGGCACACCAGACAAAGCATATCTGCACATCCCATCCTTCAGACCTGAGTTCTCTTGGCTCTGCCCCAATCACAGCTGGGCGACCTTGGGCAAGTGGCTTAACCTCTCTGAGCCCCGACAGGAGGGTGCACCTGCCTCACAGGATTAAATGAGACAGTTGCACTCCTTGCTCACCATGAGTGCTCAGCAAAAGAGAGGGGGAAAGAGAGCGATGAAGAAGTGGAGGGATCTTGGTCTTTTTGATGCTGGAGGCGAGGTTTGGGATTGTGTAGTTGCAGGTGAGAGCTGTGAGGCTCAGGGAGGTGAAAAGAGAGCATTCACACAGGGGACAGACGCATGGTGGGCCTGGGACCCAGACGTCCTTCCTCTTGCCCGGTGGCCCAGGGCTGTGCAAAGACACAGCAAAGCTGAGTGGGAGGGAGGAAGAGCTGGGGAGGGAGAGAGCGGCAGTGGGCTGGTGAGTGGAGGTTGAGGCAGAGGGCGCCAGCTAGGAGAAGGGCTACAAGAGGGAGAGCAAGACCCAAGGACAGAGCAGAGACAGAGACTGGAAGAGGCGGTGGTCTTAGAGTCCAGAAGTGGGGTATTCAAGGAGGAGGAAGAGGTGAAGGAGGTGTGAGTGGAGGGAAGATGAAGCAGAGGAGGCCTAGGGCCAGGATGGGAGGCTGGAGGCAATCCTAACGGGTAGAGCCAAGCATGACTGGAGTCTACAGGAGGGAAGAGAGGAGAGGGTCATGAGCTCTGCCCAGAGAGGGCATGACCATGACGTCTGCGGGAGAAACAGCCCAAGAGGAGGAAGAAGGGGCAGGGGGAACGGTGGGGACTGGGGTAGGGTGGTGTCTGTGGAGAGAAGCTGAGAGGGGGCCTAGGGGAGGCGAGACTGCCCCGGAGAGGAAGGGAGGGTCCAGGGGCAAAAGTGAGAGGGAAGAAGACTGAATGCTGAGGGCGCCGTGGAGGGAGGAGGCAGAGGGACCGATGGGAGCGGGCAGGAGGCGCCCAGGAGGCAGGACCAGGCGCCAGGGCCAGAGGGGAGGGGAGAGTGTGCGGGGCGGGGGATGCGGGAGGGGGCCGGGGTCCCAGGAGAGGTGACAGGGCGGGGGAGGGCGGGCAGCAGCCGGCGGAGAGGGGCCTGGAGTCCGGAGGGGAGGAGGGGCGCGAGGCAGGGGCCCCCCGCACCCTACCTTCCAGGCAGCAGATCCTCCAGAGCCCCGAGTGGGTGAGGCCGCCGGGGTCCTTCTTCTCCGAGGAGCCGCCGCCCCCGCGGTGGGCCGGCGCCTCGTCGCCGGCCGTGAGGTTGGTGGTGTTGCAGATGAAGGCGCGCGTGTACAACCAGTAATCGGTGCTGATGGCGATGGTCATGAGGCCGAAGGCGGCGAAGGCGCCCACCGTGGTCAGCAGCACCTGCACCCCCTTCTCGCACCAAAGGCCCCTCTCTTCGTTCCAGCGCTTCAGCGACTCCAGTTTGACCACGGGCAGCCGGGGGGCCGTGGGCCACCACCGGGGCAGCGGGGGCGGGGCCGTGCCGGCGGCTGGGGGGGACACAGCGCAGGCAGAAGTGGGGGCCCGGGGCCGGCCGGGCTGGGCGGGGGCGGCGAGGAGGAGGCGCGGCCCCGGAGGGGGTCAGAGGGCGGCCATGGTCGCCGGCTGGTGGGGGCGGGGAGCAGAAAACGGATTAGTCCAGAAGGACGGAGCCGCCCCCACCCCACAAAGAACCCCCACTACTTCCTAGGTGGAAGAAACTCCTCCCACTCGGGTTCTCCCTGCCTCCCTTTCTCTGAAAAAGTCTCCCTCGGCCCAGGGCGGCCTTCCCACTAAATCCCACTGGGAAAAATTCCCCCCACCGGGCCTGACACAGCAGACACTCCTCCTGCGCCTTCCCGCTCCTCCCCCTGGTCCTCCAGTCTTCCCCACCGCGAAAGCCACCCCACCCCCACTCTGGCCCCAGGGCTTCCTCCTCCCAAGGAACCTACAAGATCCCCATCACCATTCTGATCTCTCACAGTTCTGTCCGCCCCCCACGTCCCCTGCAAGTTTCACCTCCTCACCTACTATGTCCTGTACTCAAGAAACATAAATTTCTCAATCCCTCCTCAGCTAACAAAAATCTTCCCAAGGAATCCTGACTGTTTGCACAACTAAGAAGAACCACATGGTCACCACCGCTGCCACCCCCATCCCCCTACAGTCCCTTCTGGGTAGGAACCCCCTTCCCCACTCAGACCTCTGTGTCTCTGGACCAAGGTTCTGAACCTCAAACGCACTGTGAAATGACCAAAGGACCTTAGAGATCAGGATACCTGATCTTTAGGATGCCCACCTGAGCCCCACCTGAGCTCCACCTCAGCCCCATCAGAGAAATTCCAATTTCATTGCTCTGGTGGCCCCAGAGCATCTAGGTTTTTGAAAAGTTCCCTGGGGGATTCTAATGGGCAACCAAAACGTTGGACCCTCTGGTTTAGAAGAATGCCCCCATCTCCCTCATACTTACTCTACAGCACCCACTGTCTCCCTTGGACCAACCCCAATCCCCTACTACATCTTGGACTCAAGCAAAATCCCCCACCCTCTGCTTTGCTTAAAAAAGTCTTCCGAATCTGGCCCCCACTGTCTCTACAACTTAGGCAAACTCATCATAGCCATCACTTTCTCTCCTCCTCCATTAAGAAAAATTTCCTCCATGAGCTCCACAGAGGAGCTACTCACAGGAATCCCTTCCCCCAGACCCACATTTCCTCTCCATTCAGAAATCTCCCAAGGTTTGATCCAAACTCCCACTGCTGTCCAGGGAGAGCCCCCCTCTCTGCCCAGCATCTCTCCCACCCCATTCCTCTGTCCTTCCATCATCTCCCACTGCCTCCAAATCCCCTGACTGGAGCCCTGGTTCCCTGTTATCTTCATCACATGGATGAACCCCCCAACTCCAGATCTCCCCAACTCACTTGGACCTCCCACTCTCTTCAATTTACAAGAACCTCCCCCCTAACCTGACTTCTCTTACACCACCAAGAATCCCCTTCCTCCACCAACATCTCCTCTACTCAGGAAAATTCCCTTCAGGAGCCCCCACCAACTTCCTTTCTTGGGAACCCCCCAACTCCCCTTACTCTTTCATCTGTGCAGGAACATGCTCTGCAGCCCTACTTACTTCTAAATGTAAATGGAGCCCCCCCATAGACAGTGCCCCTCAGAAAAATTTCATCCATGAGGCTACAAACTCTCTTTTAGTTGGGAATAATTTCCCACTCAGCAACACCCCCCCCCGGGGTCTCCTCATTTCCCTCTTCCCCAGCATGCCCACCACCACACCCCCAGCCCTGCCTTCTCCACCCCAACCCTCCTTCCAGGCACAGGACCCTTACCTGCTTCCACCACTCACTGTTTCCTAGACTTCTTTCCCAAACCCCCTGTTAAGGTTCAGAGCCTGGAAGCCAACAGGATACCCCCCCACCCCCCGTCCTAGTACCAGGGTGACCTTGGCCTTTTCCACCCCCATCAGCTGGCCCTGCCTGGGTCTGCTCCTAGGAGGGGCTGCTGAGAAAGGTTGTCTATGGGGGGTGTCTCCATGGCAACTGGGCCTAGTGCCCCACACATGTGTTCCCTCCCCCACCTCTACTAGCCTGCCCACACACAGCCCCTACCCATCCCCATTCATCAGCCCACTGGACACTGATATCCCCCAGCCCCTGTCCTCAGTTCTGGCCCCTTCCTCTTTCCTTTCCAGACAAACGCCGAGTTTCCTCATCTCCTGGCTTCTTCTCCCCCATCTGTACCCCTCACCACCAGCACCACCACCTCCACTGTCCTAGCAAATCTCTGCTTCCACCCCAGGGTGAGCCCATGACCCCGAGGTGTACCCCTCCCCCTGCTGGCCCCCCACAACCAAAAATAAGCAGGGGATGGAAACGGGGTAAGTGAGGGAAATTCTCCATCAAAAAAGATTTGAAGATCTTTTCATTTTGTCGATCTGAGGGGCAATCTGTTTGGTTTTAGGGACTCTTCCTTTAGTCCATCTGTCAGCAGCAGCAAAAGAGGAGGGAGCAGGGGACCCCCAATCCTAAAGCTTCCGGATATGAGAGGGGTCACCAGCCCTTCTCCCTCTGAAGGGGCTGGCTCCTTCCTCCAGAATTAGGGGGGGTCACAGAACCTTCCTTCTACACCCACCCACCTCCGATTAATAAAAAGATCTGTCTCACCTCTGTTAACGATAGGTCAACTCTCCGATGCACTGGGGAGGGGACGATGAGCCCCCCTGTCTGCACCCCCCCAGAAAAACCCTTGTGGCTCCCAGTTCTCACTGCTCCCCCTCCCCCAGCAGCGAGGGACCCAGGCGTCCGACCTGGTTGGGGGTTGGAGATGAGGAGGCGTATGGGGAATGAGGGTGTTGAGGTGGGAGGGGAGGCTGAGGGGCAGCTCTGAGCTCGGGCCCCAAGGGAGTGGGGGTCGGGGTGAAAAAAAAAAGGTGAGGAGACAATTTGGTTCTCGTGTCGCTGGGTAAAGTGCGGAGCTGGAGGACGAGAGAGAGAGGGAGGAGGGAGGGAGGGGGAGGGGAGCCGCTGAGGATGGGGGAGCCACGGAGAGGAGGTGGGGGGAGGGAAAGGATTGGGGGGCAGGGTCTGGGTGGCAGAAGGAAGCTGAGGAAAAAGAGAGAGAGGGACCCAGAGAGGGAGGGAGAGAGACAGAGAGAGACAAGGAGAAGCGGAAAGAGAGGAACCCAGAGACTGTGAAACAGAAATGGGGGAGGGAGAAATTTGGGGGAGGCAGCGGCTGGTAGCAGAAGGAAGTTGGAAAGAGACACACACACACGGAGAAATATCCAGAGAGAGAAGGGGACAGAGAGAGAGACACAAAGAGAGAAACCAAGAGACTGGGGGACAGATGGGGGATGGGGTAAGGGAGAGGATGGGGGGGTCAGAATGGGATAACAGAAGGAAAGAAGAGACAGGGACAGAGTCATCCAGAGAGGGGGAGGAGAGACAGATGGGGAGAGACAGACAGAGACTGAGGGTTGGGGGGGGAGAGAGAAAGGGAGAGAGAAATGGGGGGGTGGGGGCAAGATCTTAATGGAGAGGAGGATGCTTTAGAGAGAGAAAAAGATGGAGAGAGAGAGAGAGAGAGGGAACGGACAAGAGAGTAAATAATAAGAGAAATTTAGGGGAGAAGGCTCTGAGTGGCAGAAGGTGGCTGGACACGGAAAGGCAGGTGCAGAAGGAGAGAGAGAGACCCAAAGAGAGAGATAGGTGGAGAGCGCTTGACTGGGAGAGACCCCGGGATCGAGACACAGAGAGACACTGAGGAGGCACCAGAAGGAAGCTGGAGGAAAACAGGAGAGGGGCCAGGCTCCGATGGATGAAGGAGGTCAGAGATCGAGGGCACCCGCGCCCCCTCCCCCACCACATCCCTCGCCCCTGATCCCTACCCCCATCCCCATTTCAAAGCCACCACCCCACCCCCACTAGCCTCCATCTCTCCACAGCATCGCCTGCCGCCGCCGCCGCCTCTTCCTGTCGTCATAGCAACAGGATCCAGGCGCCCAGCCAAGGCTGGCTGCAGCGCCGGAAACGAGGGGAGGGCCTTACCAAAAGGACCCCAGGAGCTGTCCCCTTCCCCCAAATCCAAGGGACAGCTCCACCTCCCCAGGCCTTCCCCCCCCCCAACAGCTGCCAAGGGCAAAGAGCCCCTGAGAATGAAATTCTCTTCTATTCAAGTTACGAGGGTAGTAAGCCCTTAGTTTCACTGACATTTCATCTCCCCACCCCCCCACCCTACCCGTCACTTGCTCCAGGAGCTAGATTCCCCCCCAAGATAGGAACGGGAGTGAGGGGGCAAACAGGAAGTGAGAAACTCGGGTGGAAATCGGTCTTGAACTCTGCCTGGGGCTGGGCGGGACAGCTCTGCAAGTTTGAAGAATAATGATTGTTGGAGTTCCAGGACTAGCCAGTGGGCAGGGGGTGGGACAACTCGAGGCAGAAAATCTGAGAGTCAGAAAGTTTGGTCTTGGATTCAAATCTCAGAGATGCCTGTAGCCAGTGTGTGACCTTGGACAAAACATTTCCTTCTTTCTAGACTCAGTTATAATGGAAACAAAAACTGCCTCCAATGTATGGAGAACGTGGATGAGAAAAGGTCTTTGCACACTGCTCTAGACAGGCAGTTATTTCAAGACTCTGTCCTCCGGCAAATGCTATCCAAAACCCAAAAGCTAGCCATGACCATAGACTTGGGCTAGGGAGTTTGCATGCTTCGATGTCTCGTGGAATTCTTACAGAATCCTTGCGACGTGGGCACTGACGTTCCCATATTACAGATGAGCAAACTGAGGCTCAGAGATGTATCGCAATGTACCCAATAAAGGCATAGTTGGAATAAAAGGCAGAGTTGGAGATGAAGCAGCCTCTTTGTGGGGCTTGACAGGGGTGGACAGCAATAGGGGAACTTCAAAGCCACTTAACATGCCATTTTGGGGTCAGCTCCTCCCTTTTGGGGACTGGCAGAGACAGAGAAAACCTGTATTCCCCACACACCCAATCCCCTCACCCTGGAGGAGCCATATCCTTCTGTACCCAGCATCTCTCATTTCCACTCGGAATTTCTAGAGGTCAGTTTACTTAATTCTCACCATGGCCACGGGGGAAAGGAGTTTAGAGAAGCATTCTGACACCCCTTGTTTGGAAGCAAAGAAACACCAGCCTCAAGGGAAGGGGCCTGGAATTCATTCATTTGAGAACTATTTGTCCCGCCTCTGTTCTTTTGCCAGGGAGAGGGACGCAGCTGTGAACAGTGATGGTCACCGATATAAATTGAGCGCCAAATATTACAGACTTGAAGTCATTTGCAGGCATTGCCTTGGTCTTCCGGCTTCTGTCATTAGCCCCCATTTCAAAGATGTGGAGACTGAGACTGAGAGAGGTAAGCCCATCACCAAGGTAGGAAGTGGTTGCCCTCAGAGCCGGGGCTTCAGATCCCAGAGCCTGCGCTGTCTTCTAAACTGCCTCTGCTAAAAATAAACAACAAAAACAGAAACTTTCAAAGGGTGAAAACAACTATGAAGCTAATAAAACAAGCCAGGGTTTCTAAACCTCAGAACTAGTGATCCTTGAGGGGCAGTTCTCTGTGGCGGGGACCACCCTGTGCCAAACGCCAGTAGCAAGGGGTTATAATAAAAAATAATTTAGTCTGTCCCACTTCAAATCCTGTTCCTTTTTGGAAAAGCCTCTTAACGTTTTTAGCTGTTTCTTCTCTTACTTGCCTTTCCATCTGTAAATAATAATTATCTTCTGGATGTGTCAGCCTTATACATTATAGATTCCTTTTCTCTGATAGATAAGGTTTTAACTCCTGTCGACCTCACTTTTCCCCTCCCTTCTTCCCCGTGTAAATAGTTTAAGTTCTTCTGTTGGTTCATTTTGTGGCAGGAAGCGATAGACTTTACATCGTGATTGCTTGTTTCAGAGGGCGTATATCTGGTTTCTTTTTAGCAGCTTTATTGAGATAGAATCCACATACCAATACAATTCACCCAGGGAAAGTGTACCACTCAATGGCTTTTAGCTATAATCACAGAATAGGGCAACCATCGAGTTTAGATCCATTTCAGAGCATTCTTGTTAGCCTGTGGATTTACCACCCACCCTAGCCAGCCATCATCCCCCACCACCCCCCACACCCTGCCCTAGCCCCAGACAATCACTAATCTACTTTCTGTCTGTGTAGATTTGCCTATCCTGGACATTTCATATGAATGGAGTCATACAATATGTGTTTCTTTGTGTCTAGCTTCTTTCTACTGAGCATGTTTTCCAGGTTCATCCTGGAATAATGATACATGTTGTGATATGTATCATTATTTCACTTCCTTTTACTGATGAATATCATTCCATTGTATGGATATATTACATGTTATTTATCCATTGGATATTCGGGTCATTTCCCCATTTTGGCTATTGTACATAATACTGCCATGAACATCTGTGTTCAAGTTTTTGCATTGGGCACATGTTTGGGTTTTTTAAAAAAGATTTTATTTTATTTTTTTAAAGGATTTATTTTTATTTTTATTTTTTACACTTTATTTATTTGAGAGAGAGAGAGCATGGGGCGGGGCGGTGGGGTGCGCAGAGGGAGACGGAGAAGCAAATTCCTTCCCACTGAGCAGGGAGTCTGAGGAGGGGCTGGATCCCAGGACCCTGGGACCATGACCTGAGCCAAAGGCAGATGCTTAACTGACTGAGCCACCCAGGCGCCCCCAAAGATTTTATTTTTTAAAAGTAATCTCTACACCCAACGTGGGGCTCAAACTCGCAACCCTGAGATCAAGAGTTGCATGCTCCACCAACTGAACCAGCCAGGCACCACGGACATAAGTTTTCACATCTCTTGGGCATATACCTAGGTGTGGCATTTCTGGATCCTATGTTTATCCTTTTGAGAACTGAGATAGCATCTCTGAACTTTGTGTTGTAGGACAGAAATGTTAGACCCACTGATCAACCTTTCAGTTCATGGAAGGACCCTTCAGAAGGGGTGTCACAGAATGTTCTGGTTATGGCCCCTTTCAGATCTCATTCCTATATTTGCTCATGAATTTATGTCACATTATCCAAGGTCTCGGGGCGCCTGGGTGGCTCAGTCATTGAGCGTCTGCCTTCGGCTCAGGTCATGATCCCTGCTTCTCCCTCTCCCACTCCCCCTGCTTGTGTTCCCTCTCTCGCTGTCTCTCTCTGTGGGATAAATAAATAAAATCTTAAAAAAAAAAAAAAAACATTATCCAAGGTCTCCCATGGGTTTGACCCAGAGATCTAGAGGCTGTAGAATCAGAGATAAGTCTGCTAAGCCCCTAGGCTCGAGAAGGTCCTCTGCCCTTACTTCCCCTGATCCCATGTGGTCGGCAGAACTCTAAAATGACCCCCAATATTCTCACCCCCAGCATACACACTCTTTAGAATTGCCTCCCCTTGAGTATGGGCAAGCTTGTGAATAGGGTAAAGTGTCATTCCCATGATTAGATTACACTATGTGGCAAGGTGAAGGGATTTTGCACATGTAATTAAGGTCCCTAATCAACTGACTTGTAGTTAATCCTGGGTGGGCCTACCATAATCAGGCAATCTCTTCGCAAAGGGTCCAGAAGTGGCAGAGATTCAGAGCAAGCAATTCTCCTGCTGTCCTATGTCAGAGAGGGCCACGTGGTGAAGACCCGAGGATGACATCCGCTAGCAAGAACACAGGAACAATGTCAGGTGTACAATCACATGGAAATGATCTCTCTCTCCTGAGGGAGGTTGGGAGTGGACCTCTCCCTAATCGAACTTCCAGATGAGGATGCGGCCAGCCGGCATCTTGATTGCAGCCTTGGGAAGCCCCGAGCAGAGGACCCCGTGCCCTGTACTGGCATCCTGCGCCATGGAAAGTGTGAGATAATAAATACATGCTGCTTTTAACCACTTGTGGTCCTTTGTTACACGGCAGCCAATCACTAATAGACCCTGTAAATCACATTGCACTGTGAAGGTCACACAGGGACAGCTCAGCCAGGGGCGCATTAATGCCACCTCTCCATGTCTCCCTCTCCCCCACTCCCACAACCAGTCAGTCAGTCCCCGTGTGCGGGCCCCTCTCCCTCCTGGATCCCTTTCATATCCACCCCCTTCCCTCTGTCCTGCTCTTGTCTGGACTGTCCCACCAGCCGATGGATGCCACCGGTCTCCCTCCAGCCCGATTTTCACTCGGCCCCTAAAGGCTCTCCAACACTCAGAGCGGACCCTTTCCCTCCTCTGCTCAAAATTCTCTTATGGCTCCCTATTGCCCTCAGGAGAAAATATAAGCTCTTGATCTATGTCCTTTGCCAAGAGCACCAGTCTTGTCTTCTGCCATCCCCACACCTGCCTCCTGCAGACTGGAGTGGTTTTCCCCACTCTGCTCGGCTCCTTTACACTTCCGAGGTTCCTGAGTGTGGCTCCCTCACCTGGAACCCCTTCCACCTTGTCATCTCTTGGAATCTTCTTCCATCTCCCACATGAAGACTCAACTGAAATGCTCCCTCCTCTGGGAAGCCGTCCCTGACCTCCCAAGGCTGCATCAGAGGATACAGATGCAGGCTGCATCCCCCATGCCCTGTCGTGCCCCCATTAGAGCAGGGTGACTACCCTGCATTGTGACTGGCATGTCAGTCTGTCCCTCGCAGCAGAGTGGGGGCCGGTTCACTTCGCCATCCCCATAGTGCCCAATTTGGGTAAATAGGAAGCGTGGATCTGCAGGTGCCGAATGGATGGACGGAGAGATGGATGGAGGAAGGAGTGAAAGACTCGGGGAACAAGTGGATACATATTCTAGGGTCCTCGGGCAGCCAATTACAACCTCCCATCCCTGTCCAACCCCTCTCCCGCCTCATATCCTGCGTGTGCGTTCTCCCTCCCAGGTGCTTGAGTGTGTCTCGTCAACAACAGCTGGGGCCTTTGTGTTTTCTCAAGAGGAACAGAGTGGTGGTGGCGTGTTTTCCCGCTGTACCAGGAAGAGAAGATCAGCGTTTCTAAAATGTCCTCATTCAGGGTGAAGTGGAAATATTCCAGCGCTGAGGAATCAGGTGGCCCGAGTTCCAGTCCTTGCTTTTCCTTGCCTCTCTAAGGGACCCCAGAACCAAACACTTGTGCTCTGGGCACTTTGTCCTCCTGTCTGTAGAGGGGATGGGGAGGGGGTGTGGGTAGTGATCTCACTCCAGATGGGACGTCCTGGGACGATGATTCAAAGTTACACATCCAAGGAATTGTGGCAGAGTTTTGGGGGTATCTGTGAAGCTCTGGAAATTGCCTATGAAATTTTGTGAATATGGGTACTCTTTTCTGGAGGTCTATAGCTTTTATCTGGTTCTTGGAGGGACCCCTGATCTCCTACGAGTTAAGATTCACTGCCTATTGACAGATTTAACCAAATCTCATTTGTGTCAGTAAAAATTAAAAAAAAGAAAAGAAAAGAAAAGAAGAGGCAAGGGAGAGTACGTGAATGCAAAGATATTGTTTAAGGCAGGTTTCCTCAACCTGAGCACTAGTCACATCTTGGACCAGATCATTCTTTGTGGTGGGTGTCATCCTGTGCATCAGAGAGCATTCAGTAACATCCCTGGCCTCCACCCACCAGAGGACAACAGCACCCCCTCCCAAACTGTGACGCCCAAAAATGTCCCCCCGGGGGCATAATCAAAAATGATAACAATCGTTCCGTTGGGAAATGAGGCTGGGGTTGGGATCAGTGAGAAGATGAAAGGCACTTTTTTCTTTTGGTCCTTCTCTGCTGCTTACATTTGAAATTCATGACTAGGCATTAAACTTATAATAAAAGTGAGTTTATTGCTAAAATAAGTTACGTCCATTCAAGGGACACACACAGCTGTTGAATAAAATGAGGTGAATCTCTACATCTGACGTGCTTCTGCTTCCATAACAAACAATAGCAATGCTTAACACGTTTGGTCTCAGGACCCCTCTATACGCCTAAAAATTACAGGGGACCCCAAAAGCGTTTGTTTCTGCGTGTTATGTCTATTGATATGTAACATATTCAAAATTCAAACAGAGGAGACTTAATCTGTACTAATTTCAGGAAAATAATAAACTCATTGAATGTTTACATAAACAACTTATTTTAGTGAAAAATAAATGTGTTTTCCCAAACACACACAAAAATATAGTGGTCTTGGCTTACATTTTTGAGAGTCTATTCAATGTTTGGGCTACTAGAAGAAAGCGGGGTTCTCATATCTGCTTCCGCATTCAATCTATTGTGGTACCGCCCATCATGAAGCCACAAAAAGACTCTGGACCCTATACACTCATGAGAGACTAAAAGTGAAAAAGGCAAACCATATCTTCGTATTCTTGCAAAGGTGGTTTTGATCTCATGGACCCCGTCAACAGGTCTCAGGGATGCCCCAGGGTCCCTGGGCCACACTTCGAGAGCCACTAACACGTGTATGTGGTATTAGTCTGTAAATTGACTGGGTAACACGGTGTAAGAATAATGATAGATGGGGCACCTGGCTGGCTCAGTCAGTAGAGCATGCGACTCTTAATCTCAGGGTCTTGAGTTCAAGCCGGAGACTTCTTAAATCAAACAAAGAAAATGATGATAGGTAAATAGATGGAACTATGTGGCTTCAGGATACTCAGAGGTGTACAGCTTAGTGGTTAAGTGTGGTCGGTTCAGGAGACCCCCAGGATTCAAATCTTAGCTTGACCACTTACTAGCTGTGTGACCAGGAAAAGGTTAATTTATCTCTCTGCACCTCTAGGACCTCATTTATAAAAATGGGATGAATAGAAAAGCACCAGTTTCCCTGGGTTATTGAATGCAAAGTGGCTGGCACATAGGAAGCCGTCGATAAATTATGCAATTAATTTATGCAAACTGTCGTTATTAAGCATCCTTGAAAAACAATAAGTTAGCATTATATAACGGATACTAGATATTCTCCGTAATACATTGCCATGTGAAATTGGGAGGTGCAGAACTATGTGTATATATAAATGCTGTGTCCAATAAACATGTATGAGCTACATATTCACCTGTGTGGGAACGTCAGCTGTTCAATCACATGGAAATGATCTCTCTCTCCTGAGGGAGGTTGGGAGTGGACCTCTCCCTAATACACTTGTATATACTTCAATATGTAAATAGATTCTTGAAATTTTACATGGTATGATGAAAATACTTCAGGGTGTGGGGGACTTCTGGATGTCAAGAGGTCAGAAGGACTGACTTTTTTTTTTTTTTAAAGATTTTATTTTTATTTATTTGAGAGAGAGAGAATGAGAGACAGAGAGCATGAGAGGGAGGAAGGTCAGAGGGAGAGCA